AACCTTATAAAATAGTCTATTTAAGTGATAATCAAGAAAATGTTCCTAGATGGTTTAATGAACATCAAGAAAATGTTCTTAGATGGTTAAATGAACATCAAGAAAATGTTCTTAGATGGTTAAATGAACATCAAATAAATCATTTAAATGTAAGTGGACCACGGGAGAGCAACGCGGACGGAATTTATAATAAAGCATATGATTTTATATTTGGATTATTAGTGCTATTATCCGAAAAGTTTAGTTTGAAACGGAATTACGAGTATGGAAGATGTGAATTTTGTAATCGTTACAACACTTCAGAAGTATGGTGTCAAACATGTGATACTCAAAAATTAGCTCAGATGTGGACAAGTGGAGATAAAAATATTGATGATTACATTAAAAAACTTCAACTTAAAACTGAAAAGTATGACGATGCTATTGAATGGATTCCTTTTAATAGATTAGGCTTTAAAGAGATGAGTGGTGAAACACATTTAGCAACATGGTTAGATGGTGTACGAATAATTCAATATGAGAATAATAAATATGTTCGTTCACGTTCATTATCAAGTATAGTTGCGCTTAAACCATTTCCCGATTCCCAAAATTCATTAAAATTTTTAAAAGAAGTAAGTTAAATCTTTTTTGTGTATTGATTTGTTTAAATGGTATATTAAAGTTATTTCATATAATTTATAAGTTAAATGATATCAGATAAAAAAATAGCGAAATTAAAATATATGGAATAACTAAAAACACCACTACCAATGAATATATGTTAGTATTTGATCGATATAGTCCCGAAACAAATTATATCGGTATGCATGGGAGTTGTGTGCGTTGTAATCCAAAAATTTCAAGAGCATATGACCATCCAATAATTCAGGAGTGGACAAGTGGAAATAAGGATGTTGATGATTATATCAAGAAATTTCAATTTGAAACTACAAGATGTGAAGAAATGATTGAATGGATTCCTTTCGATAAATTATTTAATGTTCAAAAAATTGGTGAAGGAGGATTTGGTTCAGTATTTTCAGCAATATGGATAGATGGAAAAAGAAGTTTGAGCAAAGGTAAAAATATACAGCGTATGCCTTTATATAAAGTTGCACTCAAGACATTACCCGGTTCTCAAATGAATTTTTTAAAAGAAGTAAGATTATTTGTTTATATCTTAATATAAAATTATTTTATTGTATAATGAATTAATTTAAATATTTTTGTTTTGACAACAAGTTTAAAAATTACATGCGATGTAGACTGGTGGACAGTGAATATATAAGACTTGAAATATATGGACTAACACAGAACACAGCCACTAACGAATACTTAATGGTATTTCAATATGCAAACGGAGGAGATCTTAGAAATTATTTGAAATCAAACTTTACTGAACTTAATTGGAAAGGAAAATTGAAAATATTGATGGATATCGTGAATGATTTGGACTTAATTCATAAAGCAGGATATGTTCATGGTGATTTTCATAGTGGAAATATATTGCAAAATGAGCATATTAAAGG